CTGGTACTCCATTGTTATTTGTCGATAGAGCTGGTGCCCCTGGTACTCCACCACACATGTGGCACAATTCACAGATTCTCAACATGTCACTGAGTTAAGACAAGTGTCCAGCTTGTTTAAGAAGCAATCCCACTCCTCCAATGTTATTTTTTATTGATTTGGAGCAACTTTTATTTCTCCACACAACCACCCGCAGTGTCGGCCACACTCCAGCCCAAAACAGGCACTCCTCACTGGACAAGCTGACAGCTGGCATGACCCTGGTTCTCTTAAAAAATTTTTTTTAGTTTTTCCACACTTTTCTGACTATGGTGGCCACATTTTGACAGTTTTCTGGCTCTGGTGACCCCTGGAACTCTGCTTTGACAGCCTGGAGTACCAGGGGCGTCAGAGCCCCTGGTACTCCAATGTTATTTTCCCATAAAGGTGAAGCCCCTGGTACTCCAAAACACATATGGCACAATTCTCAGAGTTTCCACATGTCACTGAGAGTTAAGACAAGTGTCCAGCTTGTTTAATACTCCAGTGCTATCTTCCCATTGACTTGGTGCAACTTTTTTTCCTCCACACAACCACCCCCAGTGTCGGCCACACTCCAGCCCGAAACAGGCACTCCTCACTGGGCAAGCTCACAGCTGTCATGACCCTGGTTCTCTTAAATTTTTTTAAAAACCTTTTACAGTTTTCTGACTATGGTGGCCACATTTTGACAGTTTTCTGGCTCTGGTGACCCCTGGAACTCTGCTTTTTAAACACTTTGACAGCCTGGAGTACCAGGGGCGTCAGAGCCGAATTGTCAAAAACCCCGTGCTTTTGCCTGTGACAATTGGAAACCCATAACATGGCAGAGTCGGGGTTGCCAAATGTCACGAACAGTTTTAATGCACTTTTCCAAACCTTTAAAGCACCCTTCAGCGTTTTATGGCACTGCTACTCTAACCTAAGCATTTTAAAGCAATTTTACACGGTCAAATCCACTGCTTTTGTCCGTGACAATTGGCAACACTGCGCTTCCATTCAAAGGGTGTCCAATTGTCAAAAAACGCCGTTATGACTTCCTTGTTTCAGTTTTCGCTATTTCCAACCGTTTTTTTGAGGGTTTTAAGGCACTTTTACAGCACCCTGCAGCGTTTTATGGCACTGCTAATCTAGCCTAAGCATTTAAAGCCACTTTTACACAGGCAAATCCGCTGCTTTTGTCAAAAACGCCGTTATGACTTCCTGGTTTAGGTTTTGGCTATGTCCAGCTGTTTTTTGAGGGTTTTATGGCACTTTTCCACAGCTTTAAAGCAACCTGCAGCGTTTTATGGCACTGCTAAATAAAGTAGTATAGTTTGTTATTTATTTTTCTGGTTATTTGTTCATAATAAGAGCTGTGAAAATTTGGTTTATTGTTGAAAGTGTTTTTATTTATTTATTTTATGGCACTTGTAATCATTTTGAACCTCTTTTACACATGCAGGGAGCTGCTTTGCTTTGCTTTCATGCAAATTGCACAAGCTCAATGCAAAAAAGAAATGGAACCAGCCAGTTTAGAAATTTGACATTTCAAAACCCATAGAATGGCTTTAAAAATGCACTCTTAGGGTTTCAAAATGCCACACCCCACTTGTCAAAAAGTTTACTTAAAAAAATCTGACAACATAAGAAAGTTTACCAAATGTCAGCCCCTTTTGTCAAAAAGTTTACCTCCTGTCAATTGACACATGGTAACCTTTCTGACAATGTCAAAAAGTCACCCTCGTGTCATCCCAAATGTCAGGAAGGTTACCTCCTGTCATTGACAATCAAGGACCCACGCCGAAATGTCAAAAAGGTTCCCTCCTGTCTGTCAAAAATGTTCCCACGCGCATACTTCATTTCCCAACATGCCTTTGGTCCCATTGGCTTACAGTATTTTAAGTGTATGTACTAGTAGTAAACCAAGCGCTTACCCTGCTATTAGTGTGTGCTGCTGTGTGTTCATGCATGTTGAGCACAATGCATGACACCCAGCCCTCGGCGGCCGGCAAGTCGCTGTTGGCTGGCCGATAGACCAGACTGACCCTGCTGGTTGGATACCAGGATCTGGACCTTCTCCCCCCGAAACAGAGATCTCATCCTCCCGCACCACTACAAAGTCCTGCAGCACCAGAACCAGCTCCTGAGGGGTCAAAGGTCACATGGTCTTTTTAAAATCAATCACAAATCAGCTCCAATCTGAACTTTTAAAGTCAAGTATAAAAGGTTATTCAGATATAACGGGAATCCGAACCTGGTTGTCCTGCTCGCTGTCAGGTGGACGCTGTGGGGCGTGGTCATCGGGTGTGGGCGGGGCAGACAGCAGTCGTCCTAATGACAGTGGGCGGGTCACAGTGATGCCGCCCTCCTTCCTCTGGTACTCAATGGGAGACTGGAGAGCTGTGGAAACGAAGAGGGCGAATTGGATCAGGACAACCAGCTGAATTTTATATGCATTTTTTGGCAAATTCTATCACCACCGTTTCTCAGAGTCACCACAGAAATAAAAGACACCTCCACAATACCAACACACATGAATACAGCCATCATGACACTCTTATTAAAACCAAAGACCCAATCCACCCTTCTAGTTACCATCCATCATCACTTATTAATTCAGATTTAAAAATCACT